CATGAATTTTACTGTTTTAATCTAGTAAACTCAAAACAAGATAGTCTTATTATCTACTATTCACTTATTATCTTGGGAAAACATTTAATAGTTTCATTTTTTTCTGATCCTAGAAGGAAAATTAAAATTATGGGATCTTTAGGTTTTGTTTTGATTTTTCACACTGAAATATAAGATTTATGACTTTAAAGTGCTTTAAGATTGAGGTAACAGATCTGATTTACTTCTTAACAGGAAGTTAAAAAGCCTTTCAACATTTTATAGACTTTGTGAGAATCCCGTTTGAACCTTGTCACTGACCCTGTGCTGAAGGAATGAACACAGAAAACAGACGTTAGCTAATAGACAAATGTATTTATTTTTTCTGGATATACTGTGGTGATTATAACTTTTCTTCCTTATTATCTTAAGTTGTCAGTGATAGTTTTTAAGCTGAAAGTTACTGCATAATTAAAGAAGTAAGTTACAACATATTTTTTCTTCACAGAAAATACAATGACCATGGGCTTTGCAGTTAGACAGTGCTGGGCTCGAGCAGATATACCTACTATTTGCTTTTTGTCTTTAGTAAGTTATGTTAAACCTCTGAACCTCAGTTTCTATGTCTGTAAAATAGGCATGCCATCTGTCCCCCAGAATCACTGAGAGGATTAAATGTGTTCATGTAAAAGTGCCTAGAAATGTGCCTGGCACATAGTAGGTACTAAGTTTCAGTTATTTTTTCAATTCCTATTTTAAACATTTTTAAAAATATATATTTTATTGATTTTTTACAGAGAGGAAGGGAGAGGGATAGAGAGTTGAAACATCGATGAGAGAGAAACATCGATCAGCTGCCTCCTGCACACTCCCTACTGGGTATGTGCCCGCAACCAAGGTACATGCCCTTGCCTGGACTCGAACCTGGGACCCTTGAGTCCGCAGGCCAACGCTCTATCCACTGAGCCAAACCGGGTAGGGCTCAATTCCTACTTTAAACATTTTTAATGATAACTTGAGCAAAATACTAGTCTGAGGGAATTAGTATAGAAAACTAATTACCAGTAAATTATTGTAGCACACTGAAATACCTGACCTGGCTCCCTTTTAAAATACAGTTTTCACTGTGGGATTTACTATAATCAGAAAGATAACGTAATATTGCATTTGTTCAGAGTTTACTAAGTGGTACTGTGCTCCTTAGAGCAGACCTGTGAGGGTGGTAGTACAAAGTCAGAGACTGCCTTGCTACGGTCACATGACTGGGAAGCAGGCCTAGCCAGCACATGGACTCTTGTTGTAAGTTGATTAGTTTTTAGAGCAAAGGTTTCCCATTGGAGCTTCAAGACAACAACATGGCAACAACATGGAACAAGCCTTAATATAAAAAAGGCTTTGGGCATATTTCAGTAAATAAATGCCCTTGGTTTGGGTCCACGATGGATCTTATCTATACCGAAGTTACTCTGTAGAGAATGGTATTGTGATTAGATATCAAAGTGGCAGTATTGCCCCCTCAAATATTCTTTGTGTTACATGTATACACACACACTTCTACCTTCAAAGTACTCTATTAAAGATTTAAATAAAGGGAAAAATCTTTTCATAACATACTTCTAAGCCAATTTAGAGGTCATTGAGCAGATGTCACATAATACTAATGTTAAATTACCCTGTGTAATAAGAAAATTATAGTACCTAAGTGAAGATAGTAAAGGGAAACCATCAAATGAATTATTCTAGGATTTCAAAATGAAATTATTTCTTCAAAATTGACAGTGGCACCACGTGACTTTAGGAAAGTCAGTCGGATAGGAAGAAGGAAATCAGAGACAAAAGCGACGCTTTTCTTTGTTTATACAGGGTGGGACAAAAGTAGGTTTATAGTTGTATGTATGGGAAATAACAACAAATAAAATACTACAAGAATAAACTCTGTTTCATGTACTCACAACTCTAAACCTACTTTTGCTCTGACCTGTATATGCCAATCTTTGGTTGTGATGCTAAAGAATTAATGTACTAGTATAGCTTTCAGTTGTCCTGGAAGTATTTTATTGTTAAATCATGTGACAAAAAATTTATTAAAATCTGACTAACTTCTCATTGAGTTGTTTCATATAAAATCACAATAGTTGTTTCTAGTTGACATATACTTCCTTTTGCTATTAGATACACTTTCACAGCCCAATTATTTTGAGAACATAGTATGACCAAAGAATAAAAATGTACCAACTTGACAACTTTAAATAAGCACTAGCCTTTCTTAAAGAACAAACCTCACTTACAGTTAGGAAACAATATTTATATTTAAGGTTGAAAAGCCAGGATGTAGGAAAATTTTGCTAATTTGGAAGATGACCTTTAAGGGCACCAAAACCAAATAATTTGTAGGCTATGACATAGGGCACATTCCTACAAAATTTGTGTGAATACTGCTTTAGTGGTTCTTGAAAGACAAACAAAGAGAGCTGGAATGAAATCTCTGTCCCCCTCCCCAATAAGACGGAGACTTACAAAAGGTACAGCAGCACTCTTTCAAAGCTCGCCGTTACGGCGGGTCTCTGCAGTGCCGTTAATGAGATGGCTCATGGTGGGAAATAATCTGTTTTTAACAATGTTTAGATCAAAAGTAATTTCTAATCTATGAGCTAAAGTCTCTTCAATACCCTTCATTCACCAGTAAAGCTTTTATGTTTGTATTATTTGCTTCAATCAGATGTTTTCAATTTTACCTTTTCTCCTACAAATACTTGACATGGTCCGTCAATACTGACCAACAGTTTTACTCTTTTTTCTTCAGAAAAGAGAGATTTTTGAGAGAGGGGAATGAAAAAGAGAGAAACATCTTTGCCTAAACGATTTGCAAGCATCTGTGCTTTAAGCTACTTTTTATGAACACTCCTTAGTAAATGACTCAAGGTAAAAAAGCAGAAAAGCATCCAATGTTAGGAAATTGCAATCCAATACCATGTAATTTAAACCTGCAGTTGCTTCTCTTGTACTAAATGACATACAGATGGGTAGCTTAGTTCTCTCAACTTTGGGAACACAATTGGTCTTTTTGTATGAATGAACATACATTAGCAAAAATATTTTGGACAGAATTGTTTAATTCTAATTGTACAGATTTTAACTATCCATGCCATTGGGAAGAATAATTTCAAACAGGATATTTTGTTGTGTTAAATTTGCAATTAATGATTTTTGGGAACAAAATCAACAAAGATATAACCCTTACAGAAAACAAAGAAAAAAAACAAAAAGATAACGTCTAAGAAGTCTATAGTGAATTGAACCGAAAGGGGCCTATCACAGTCAATTGCTTATTTAATTTAAGAAAGAACAGCTCTGCATTCAAGCTGTGGAGAGGTCTGTTCTGACAGGACAAACATTTCTCAGGGAAACATTTCTATCTCCTCCTTGGATCGTATTAACAGTGTAAGTAGGAGGTGTTTGGATAAAGCCTAGTGTAACATGGGGTGCCCCCAGTGAGAGGAGAGACCATCTTGCCATTAACGATAGGCCAGCTTTTCCTAAGGATCTTGCCAGGCCCAGGCAGGGCCAATGCGCTGTGTGTAAGGTCAGGCAAGGCGCTGTTTGACAACCCCCTGGCCTGCTCCAAGGTGCACCTTTCCCTTTGCCTCTGGTTTGCTCTTTTCCTGCCTCCGTATTTTCTCCTAGAGAACCAACCCCTCTGCCTTGGTGGCCCTGAGTCTGGAAGCTGATATCCTCCTTCCATCCCACCATCAGGGTCACTGGTTAGTTTTCTCCTAGTTTAATTTCAAGGAACTCACATACTGTGAACATTAGGTGCCTTAAAAGTAGAAGAAGTATAAAGCATTTCTACACCTAAATCATATGTCTTTATATTTCAAAAGACGTTGAGTTTAATATTCAGGAAACGAAGCAAGCCTTCTTTTAGTAATTTCAGAACATGACAAGAAATGTTTGCAGGTAGGGCCATCTGTGAGCCTCCTTCCCCCTGTGATGGATGGCAAAGAAAAGCACTTTTACTGCAGCCGGGAAGGTTGCCTTGTCCTGGAGTTATATTTCTTTTCACTCGTTTGTGCAGGTAAAGTAAAATACTACATACCAACAGGTGTTGTCTGAACATTTTACTGCAGTCTGTATAGGTTGAAATAAAAGCTGCCATTGTTATCGGAATCACATTAAAATTATTTCACCCTTCAAATACACTTAATCAGTGAAGTGTTCCTAGATAGACTCTGCAAAAAGAAAATGTAGGTCTCTAAATGAAATCGCATTCACGATTCCTCTTCTCTTTGGCCTTCCTCTTCCCTATTTTTATCACCCTCTCTTTGGAACTTCTTGAGTCTGCGTTAGTGTAAAGTGTCTTCTCCTGGGGTCTATGAAAAGTTTCTTGCTGCCTGTTTAACATGGTAAGAGACAGTCTTTAAAAAGACATTTGTTTTTGAGAACTCTATAGAATCTAGTGAAGTATCTAACAGAATCACAGAAAACAATTCCTAGCCATGAAAAATATAGTTTTAGGTTTTTGGTTGTTGTTTTTTAAAAAATAAGATGGTATTTAAATCACCTAGAATGTAAATTGAATGATGAAGCTGCTCTGTACTATAAAACCCAACATTATTGAATGGATAATTATTGTGTAATAATATGCCCATCATCTTATACATACAGTGTAAATAGAATTATACTTCTAAAATTTTCTATTTGAAAAAAAAAAAGAATTTCAAGGTATTGGGAGGCAAAAGGGATGTGCTCCCATCTTGTGAGTGTTCAGTGAGTTTTTACTGTCATGTGCTCGCAGCTGATACAGCACCTTGTCAGTGCTCCAGTGCAACCACCTGAATCTTGAGAAACTTTGTTATTTAATGGAGAGAAATAATCAGCTGTAGTTCAGGTAAATTTGTGCGTTAGGGACTGATCTGGTCATTGACAAGTGACTGCAGAAGCTGTGCTGTGGCGGCCAGCCAAAGCAATTATTTAGGATTCAAGCTAAAAAGCCTCCTCCTCTTTATCCTTTCTCTTTCCAGGGTCATGTAGGGATAGAAAGAACTGTAAGGTGGTCTTTTCCCAGCAGGAACTGAGGAAGCGGCTGACACCCCTGCAGTATCATGTCACTCAGGAGAAAGGGACCGAAAGGTAAGGTGAAATGTAAGAAAAAGCCATTAAGTGAAAGCTAGTTTTTTTTCGTTCCCCTCCACCCACTTCTGCCTTTGAATCCTCTTCCTTGACATTTAAAGGATTCCACACTTATTTGCTAAAGACTACAAATTAGGATCCTTGGAAAGGTTTGAAAATGGTATTGTTTAGGTTAAGACTAAGTTTTATTTATTCTTTCCCCCATTTAATGAACACTCTATCTTATGTAAAGTCACAAGGCTTTTATTAAGGGCCTGTTTTTAGTTTACTACAAAATGTGTGGAAGTAATAGCGATTTAGGTACATTTTTTGGGAAGACATCACAGTAAGCAAAACCATGAGGGACATGGCGCTGTGCCAGGATGCTGAAATTTTGAAGGTGGCCATTGTAAGTATAGACGTTTTGGCTGCAAAAAGAAGGTAGCATAATTTAGTTCCTTTCTACCCCACTCCAATTTCTTTTTGAAGCACATGTGGAGAAAGTATTTATTGGCTCATTTGTGGTTGGAATGTCAAAAATTTTCAATAACTGCCCTCACATGGCTTTGGTCCTTGGAAGTTCGCCCTAAGTCCTGAAAAAAGAGTTTGTTCACTTCCAAGACTCTTTTTAGTGAATAAAGTCTCTCTCAGCTGATTCCAGCTCAAAGGTAACTTGCCAAGATCCAACCATTTTGTTGTCTAATTTATACCATGGAGCTTGGCATAAGGCCGTAACTTACCTCTGATCCAAATTTATTAATTATGTAACTTCTTGTTTTCATTCATGAGCTGAAAGGGCTCTTTACCACACATGGGGTTCTTGTTAATAGGCAACACTCTCTTCCTGTCACAGTGGATATTGTTTACTGAATTTACCAAGTGTTGAATCCCTGACAAAGTCCACCTTCACTACACAATGAGCTAGCGGCGGACTTCAGTCTTAGCCCAGGAGGACTTCTACCCGTCCTGTTGTGTACATGACTAGCAAAATGATTTAATGCACACAAACAACTAGAGATTAGGTCATTCTTAAAAATTCTGTTTATAAAAAAATTGGACCTCATAAAGAGGGTGAAAGGATAATAAAAACAAGCTGCAGAGCACATAGACTTTTTGTTGGGCTAGCACAGCTGATTTGTATTAGCTGAATGACCTCCTAGCCTTTAAGATTGTTAACTTAGAAAAATATTCCCTTAAAGCTGCAATATTCCTTTTCAAACCAAAAAAACAAGACTCCTTCCACTTGAAGTCTTTGGATCCTTCTGCATTTTCTGGTGTACACTCTTGGACACTACAGAGTAGCAGAAATCTTATGTAATAATGTTGTCTCTTTTTTTCTGCAAATCTGAACTAGGCTTTTTTTTTTTTTTTAATAGGATTTTTTCCCCTCTAAGCATTACGTAACTACATGGCTTAATTTTTTTATTTAACCTGGACTAGTTTGGAGTAGTTATATGCACATTTTATTATATAGATTTGAAATATATTAGTAATGTTCAGATTTCCATATGTTTGGTCTGTTCTCATTATAGGACAAAAAGCCCTTGAAAGATTTATTAGAGAAATATCTTATGTATAATGTTGTCTCTTTTTTTCTGCAAATCTGAACTAGGCTTTTTTTTTTTTTTTTAATAGGATTTTTTCCCCTCTAAGCATTACGTAACTACATGGCTTAATTTTTTTATTTAACCTGGACTAGTTTGGAGTAGTTATATGCACATTTTATTATATAGATTTGAAATATATTAGTAATGTTCAGATTTCCATATGTTTGGTCTGTTCTCATTATAGGACAAAAAGCCCTTGAAAGATTTATTAGAGAAATATATTTTAAGTAAATACACTCTGTAAGAAATAATGCTAACTTTACTTAATTTTTTAAATGCTCTGTTTGTTGTTTATCAGTGCCTTCGAAGGAGAATATACTCATCACAAAGATCCTGGAATATATAAATGTGTTGTCTGTGGAACTCCATTGTTCAAGTAAGTATGTTACAAACCTTTGGCTATGGACACATCACAGATGGCAACAAATTAGTTAGTGCTTGTTCATATTAGAGTCTTTACATTACTAGATTTTCATATTTCTGTTTCCCTTCCACAAAATAAAAGTAATTGTTGATTTTGCACCATTTGTATTTTTCAAATATCCAACATTAGCTTGTTCATTGTATTAAACATGGTGCTTAGCAGAGCTATAAAAGATTTTGGTGAGTATAAAAATATTTCTCTATTTATTGAATTTTTCTACCAAGTAATAGCCCTACATTTACTTATTGGACCTTAATGAAAGTTCTTCATGTGTATCCTTCAGGTAGAATAATATCCACCAAGTTGATTATTCATATTTTTTCAGTGAAGGGCAATACCTGTATTGAAAGTAACATGGGAATTATAACAGATACTTGTACATATATAAGCAAATTGCATGACATGAGTTTATAACAGTTTTTGCATTGGTCCAAAATCTTTTTTTTTAAAAGATCTCAATAGTTTACTATAAAATAGGCAGTGTATAGACTTTTCCACAAAAAAGTTAATTCAGACAGTGTATTCTGGAGGTTATGAATTTTATTCAAGAAAGGAAAATTCTTACCAAAAATGTATTTATCTAGGAGTAGAAAATCCTAGATGCCCCATGCTTCCTGTGGGATGTTGATTTGGGGGAATAAAAAGGCAGAAACCTTAATTGAGAGTAAATGTCATGTATTTAAAACAATTACAAATTTCTTAGGGGAAATGAACAAACAATAATTTAATATGTGTAGTATGTAAAATATATCTCTCCATAAATGTTTCCCTTTTAAAGCACTAATATTTACATTTTTTTAAGAAATAACAGGAAACAGTAGTTTCTTTGAAAAAATCTTTTTTAAAGTTTCAAACCCTTCTTAGCTTGCATAAACCTTTTTGCACATTAGTGTTGGTTGAGAATCTGTTCTGATTTCTTAAGTATTTATTCTTCATGTTAAAAACCCAGCCCTTCAAATTGCCACCCATTTTCTCTCAGAAAACATACATCCTTGTATTTCAACACCTCTAGTGTGTGTCATAATAGTTGCTATAACACTTAAGATAGTTGCTGACCCATGTTAAACTTGTTAATATCCTAAAAGGTAAAAATTTAGCCACATCCCCTTTGCTTTTTGTTTATGATTCTCCACCTCTTGTTTAATCATGTGATTCAATAAAGTAATGAATCTGAGGAAAACTTACTGTTTTAAATAAAAAGCAGAACCACTGTGAATGAAGGATTTAACCCATGTGAAATTTTGAGTCACAAAAACGAAAAGGAAGACCCTTATCCAAACATAGGTACTAGCGGGGGTCAGGAAGTTTCACATTTGATGGGCTAGTGCCTCTGTTTCCTTTAGCCTTCTTGGAAGGAAAGCTTTGATTTTCTAAGTTTTTATGGAATATGGTCTCATATTGTTATTTTACTTTTAAAAAATTGTCCTTATTTGTTTTCCTGTCCATTTTAGGGGGGAAGTACCCCTGCGTTCGTCTCTGCTGTAGAAGGGTAGTTTATTGATTTAGTGTTACTATCTTCCTACCAGAGAACTTTCCAGGGACCACAGGGCATGGACAGTTTTGAGGGAACCAATTTTCTGGTCTTCAGCTTCTGTATGGACACTCTCCTGAAACTGATGTGTCTGAGACAGTCTCTGATTGGCCACTTCTTCCTTACTATCTCCTTGAGCATAATCAGCCTTCTCCCACTTCACAAAAGGTCTTGTACTGTGATCTGTTGTCCCAGGGTAATCTCTAAGGCATAAAGCAAAACAACAGCATTCATTCTGAAGGAGGAGCCCATGAAAGCAAGGCAAAATATATTGAACTGGTAAAAAATTATTGACATATTATTTCATCTTGGCAAGGCTCAGTCTGCCCGCCTGCTTGTTTGCTCTTTTATCTCCCATTCTGTTGTCTGTCTGTCCATTTCCTACTAGTCTACTAGTACTTAAGTGAGATGGTTGTCGTGAGAACATGTATCAGCATATTTATATAATTATTAAGATAGAAAAAAATGAAAGTCTTTTCTTGGAACAGATAATAAGCCTGATTTGGTTGGTAGATATAACAGATAGAACTGCCATAGCAAATTAGGTTATATTGTGGCCTTCTCTCTTCATTATATATAGCTTTAAGGTTTTGTTTTTTTAAATATATTTTTATTGATTTCAGAGAGGAAGGGAGGAGAGAGAAATAGAAACATCAATGATGAGAGAGAATCATTGATCACCTGACTCCTGCATTCCCCCTACTGGGGATCGAGCCCACAACCTGGGCATGTGCCCTGACCGGGAATTGAACTGTGACCTCCTCGTTCATAGATTGTTACTCAGCCACTGAGCCACATGGGCCAGGCAAAACTAACTTTTCATTGTGGTTTTGCATGCCCCGAAACATTTTTACTCTTAAATAATATCCTAGTGATATTCTCCATAACAATAATATTCCTCATCGATAGATTAATCCATAGATTAAAAGCCATAAATCTTCTATCAGAGAAGTGTCGCTATCAAAATGAGTCCCTTCTCTGCTTATTCATATTCATCAAAAAGCTTCTATAAGTTTAGTAGCACTCAAAGTCAGATTTGACTGGCTCTCTCACGCTGGTTCTCCTTCACGCTGGCACGTCTTAGGGGCTATCAGCATTTGTTAGTACTTGCTCTGAGAGCGCCATGTAACTTATTAAGTATCAGGACTTGTACTATTCAGTACACACTTGAAAATAAGTGTCATTAAAGAGGCCATGTCACGCCACTTAGAAACAGTTCTCCCATTCGGCACCAGATAAAGGAGATACTTGCCTTGGTCTCTTCCTCCTCCTCCTCCTCCTCAGTAGCCAGGGCATCCATGCCCAGGCGCTGTCTTAACTCCTGGTTCTCCATCACAAGGCCGATGCCTAACCACAGAGTGACACCTGCTGGGCAGCTCTAAGGTCTTGAAAAGAATATTTTAAGCATGTAGTTTATATATAGAACACCAGAAAATTCATCTTTTTCAATTATTTAAAATTTTGATAAGATATTTTAGTTGTTACTCTGAAGTATAAGAGGAAGTATGTATCAATCAGCACCAGTCTGGATACAGAAACCACACAGTAATCTGAACAGGAAGATTTGATATAAGGAATTATTACCTATAACAGAGGATTGTGATAATGAGGGATTGTCTAGTAAACTAGAAGTAAATAGAAATTTTAAAGAATACAGAAATAGCAATTAGAAGGACTTCCCTAGGACTGGCATACAGCCCAAGAAAAAGTTTTCCCTGCAAGCCCCACCTCCCATCTCCCTCTCCCTGAGGCTGAGATCTGGCCTGTTGGAGAGGGCATGGCTGCAGCTCACTAAATTGCAGAGAAGTCACTGTAGTGTCACGATAATGCAACTTTCCAGAAATCTGCCTCCTGGAATTTTCTGGAAATCTAACCTCTAGGGCAGCAATTTTCAACCTTTTTCATTAGTTTTTGGCACACATAAGCTAATTACTAAAATTCTGTGGCATAACAAAAAAATACTATATATTTTGATAATCTGACAAAAAATAGGTATAATTTTGATTCATTCACACTGGATGGCTATTATTGTTAGCTATTCTCATTTTCTTATTTGACACTAGAGGCCCGATGCATGAAATTCATGCAAGAGTAGGCCTTCCTTCCCCTGGCTGCCGGCACCAGCTTCCCTCTGGCATCCAGGACCTGGGCTTCCCTCGCAGCCCTGGCTTTGTCTGGAAGGTTGTCCGGAAGGATGTCTGGTTTAATTAGCATACTACGCTTTTATTATTATAGAAGATTCTAAGGGAAAAGAGGTCAATGCCCCTGACTAAATAGTCAGGTATTACATGTTTTAAAAAATTCTTGCAGCACACCAGTTGAAAATCACTGGTCCAGTGAATCAGTGGCATCTCTATTGGATACCCTCTTTAGGTAATTGGTTTTGTACTTTGAACACAGATTGTAGGAAACAGTTGAGTGCTGTGTGTGTGAAAACATGTGAAGTTTTGTTAGCAGGGAGTGAAGGAAGAAAATTAGGCAGAAAAGACTAAATAGCAGAACAATATGAGAAATAACAGTGGGAGAGAAACAGGAAATAAAAAGAAGAAAGAAAAATGCTAAATTTGAAAATGCCTAATCATTAGCAATATGAAAAGGTTATTTTCCCAACTGCCGTTTCCATTATTTACACTCACTGCGTGTGTGTGTGTGTGTGTGCATGCACGTGTGCATTCACATATTTGTATAATCCTCTTCATTTACTTGACTGATATATATAATACTTCCTTATAAAAAAGGCCATTCAATTATTCTTATTTCATTTTCGTACTTTGCCCTAAATACATTCCCACTCAACAATATACTGCTTTCTTACTGCTTTCCAAGTACAAGAACCTTATTCACAGACTGCTTCTAAACCTAATGTGTAATTTATTCCATGGTTCACATTTTCTTCACATTCACAAATTCTACCAGGCTAGTTTGTTTCTCATAAAGTACTACTGACTTTCAGTTAGTAAATTAACTGACAGAAGTAAGAATGTTCTCTCCTCTGGTTATTTGAACTTCTAAAATGTCATAAAATGAATTTATTGCACATCAGATAAACCAGAGAAGGCACTGGTGAAATAATTTAATTCAAAAAGTATATATGACCACTTATATTTTGCTTTGGCTGACACTTTGCCAGGTGTTGTGAAACAATCTATGAACTCTTTTCCCCTTAATGTACTTATAGTTTTGTTGGAGTGGTAAGAAAACACATAAACAGTTATAAATGTGGAAAGATGTTAGTGTCTACCCAAATGTGCCTGTTTGAAGAAATGCTTTCACATATCATAGGAGGGCATGTGATTGCATCAAAGCAGGGCCAGGTTTCATGGAGACAGTTCACCAGGCAGAGAGAAGGGTTTCATTTTTCCCAGGTAGGGGATGCCTGATAGAGCATGCCATATGAGAAGAGGAATTGGAGATAGGATCA